TACTCTCCCAGAGTGATAGGTATGACACTTGTGGTCCTTCTGCTGTCTACTTATGTAAGATTTTTAGCAATGAATTGCTGTAATTGTTGATGTTTCCAGCACTAAAAGAAAAGTATGACTCGTTAGGTTTAGAAATATTTTGAAGGTCTTCAAGTTGAAGTTGTATATGTTGAAAATGATGGTGAGGACCAAAACTCTTTTTGAAAATGAAAGATCTGTAGGGAACAATTCATGTCAGTTTGCTTAGCTAGGTTGTATTTAGACGTTTTCAAGCTTTTTTCTATGTCAATTTATTTTGTTTTCCAGTCCTTGTCGTGTCTTGCAGCTGTAGCTTGGGAACCCATAAAACCACTTGTTATAGAAACCATTGAGGTAGCACCTCCTAAGGCTAAAGAGGTGCGTATTAAAATCCTTGCAACTGGGGTTTGTCACACAGACAGCTACACACTTGGGGGACATGACTCAGAGGGTATGTTTCCTTGCGTTCTTGGCCATGAAGGAGGTGGTATCGTAGAAAGTGTTGGTGAAGGAGTTACAAGAGTTGAGCCAGGTAAGCCAAGTTAGAAAGAAACTATTAAGGATACAGTTGACCTTCATGGGCATCCTTTGCAAAAAAAAAAAAAATTAAGCCCCTTTGTGAAGCATAAACAGCAGAAACCATACAGTAATGGAAAGGTTATGCATTACACTATTCAGAAAAAGTCATTTCATTTTAGCTTGATCTAATTGTAAACTGAATGGGGCATGACAGTCTTAAATGTTTCTTTTAAGCAATTTAATCACATATGTGAAGGTGTTTTGTGAAGCCATTTACTGCATTAATCACATATCATCTGACTGCACAAGTAAAAGTTCTGCACAATTTCAATCCCGAGGAGTTGGTCCTGAACCCTGTGTGAGGATTTTTTTATATTCTTATTGGTTGCTTAGCAATTTATTTGTCAAGTTTGCTGATGAAAATCTTACAGACATGCATTACATTGGAGGGCATACTGGGAGATCCATTTTGAAAAACAGAATTCCCCCTCGTGGTTATTAAGGTTGGTCTCTGGAGAGTCTTCAGACCAAATTTCAAAGCAATCCATAAAGTTTACATACCCTATCAATTTGTTCAAAGAAGACACATCTGCATAAAAACAAGGTTTTTTTTTTTTGCTTCCAAAGTTTTCCCAGCAATTCACACCTTTGGGTGACCACATGTTAAGTTCTGTCCAAACTCTAAAAAACTTGAAATGTTGACCGCCAATAGAAACACAGGAGAGTCTTGCAGAGTCTAAGGAGACTCTTAGCAAAAATGTATTTTGCTGTAACTATGTAAAAGTTACCAGTAACTTTTGATTTCAACTGTACTTTTTTTCAACTCCAAAGTGGCTAATTTAAAAGCATGTGGCAGCAAAAGACTTTACGGTTGCTGATCAGGTGTGAGCAGCAAAGATTGCCCAAACCCCGAGCCTTTATCTGTTTCATTGAGATTCCTTCACCATTTTGCTTCAAATTTCTTTACTTTTTGTGGTGACCATGAGGCTTCTTTTTTACTCTCACCTTAAGACTCTTCTCCTTTTTACCTTTGTCCATTAACATTCTCATTTTAAATGCAGAGAGATGCATGTGCAACTGAATTATGCTATTGAAATTCAAGGCCCTGGATAATTTGCCACAAGAAACCCTTGTGGAGTCATTTATGTTGGCATGTTTTAATCAGCTATTCACACTTTGGCAGGCTAAAGAATTCAGTTAGAAAATAGGTTTTAGACCATGCTCAAAATAGGATTCTTTTTTTCTTGTTTTTTGCTTAGTACAGATGATTAACGTACTATTAAAATTAAGCCGATTTGATCAGACTTGTTTAAGTTCTGCTGTTCTTGCCCAGTATAAACCTAAAAATTCTATCTTTCTTTTATTTGTTTATCTACATCTATCCAAAGGAATTATAAATTTAGGAAATATTCAGTTGAAAAAGAAGATAAAACAAATAGGTCTAATGGCTGAGTAAAAAACCTTCCAAAGCCGTGATGAGTTGTCCGTACCGAGTACTAAGGTACTAACGTACTAAGCAAATTCAGAACAAGCCGTGATGAGTTGTCCACACCGATTATTAAGGTACTAATGTACTAATGTACTAAGCAAATTCAGAACAAGCCGTGATGAGTTGTCTGTACCGAGTACTAAGGTACTAGCGTACTAAACGTACTAAGCAAATTCAGAACAAGCCATGATGAGTTTTCCGTACCAAGTACTAAGGTACTAACGTACTAAGCAAATTCAGAACAAGTCATGATGAGTTGTCTGTACCGAGTACTAAGGTACTAACGTACTAAGGTACTAACGTACTAAGCAACTTCAGAACAAGCCGTGATGGGTTATTTGTACCGAGTACTAAGGTACTAACGTACTAAGCAAATTCAGAACAAGCCGTGATGAGTTGTCCGTACCGAGTACTAAGGTACTAACGTACTAAGCAAATTCAGAACAAGCCGTGATGAGTTGTCCGTACCGAGTA